CAGCTGGTAGTCTTCAGGGCAGGTGCATTCGAAAATCTGCACTTTTTAAAAATCCTGATTGTAAAATCACAGACTTATTGAACTTTGAGCAGACAGCGTTTGTGAATCTGAATAAGGACACAAGACTGTTAGAGGGATATAGATTTCCCAGACCCTGATGCTGGGAAAGATTGAAGGACAAAGAAGACGGGGGTGGCAAAGGATGAGATGGTTAGACAGTGTCATAGATGCAATGAACATGAAATTGAGCCAACTTCAGAGGACGGCGGAAGACAGGAAGGCCTGGCGTGATCTGGTCCATGGGGCCGCAAAGAGTCGGACTCGACTGTGCCACTGAACAACAAAAAGATTGAGAGAGGCTTGAGCAGACTGCTCTGTGAATTTCTATCGACCTTTCTATTTTTTTCTGTGATGGAATATATTGTTTGTCTTTATTGTTGCTGTTCAGTCGCACAGTCAAGTCCGAGTCTTCGCGACCCCATGGACCAGATCACGCCAGGCCTTCCTGTCTTCCGCCGTCCTCTGAAGTTTGCTCAGTTGTCTTTATTACCAGACACTAAATATGTTATGGCTTTAATATAGTCTCATTTGTTGTCGTACTGTTCTGTGGGCATCTAGCACACGTCTGTATATATTCTTTTCATACCTGACCATCTCTATATTGCCATCCCCTTATGCTGTATCTGTGTCCTTTATGCCTGCAATTCTGGGAAAGGATAAGACATTAAACAGGCATAGAAGACCCATTTTAAAACAGCTATAAATCTCACTTTATGTGCTGCCCCCACGCTCGCCGCATAAGTCTGCGCATGGCCATGTGCTTTCAGGCCTGCGCTTGGCAACTGTAAAGAGTTAGGAACTTGCTGTCGGTGGTTCTTAGAATGCTGGATCTTGATCCCATCAGCACAGGTATGGTGTGGTCACTGAGCAGATGAAGCTCTTTTTTGTACAATTGCAGCACGAGTCGCTGCAACAGGAGTTGCACAGACACCTTCAGCACCGCTGCTTTGCATGAAGAAGGTCACGGGTTCGATCCCCAGCATCTCCTGTTAAAAGGGCCAGGCAGGAGGCAAAAGACCTCTGCCTGAGACTCTGGAGAGCTGCCTCCAGTCTGAGTAGACAATACTGACCTAGATGGACCAGTGGTCTGATTCAGTATAAGGCAGATTCATGTGTTCACGTGCTTAGTTGGAGTGCCCTCTTATCACACGCAGATGCTAGTTTGGTGCAGTGGTTAAGCGCACGGACTCTAATCTGGGAGAACCAGGTTTGATTCCCCACTCCTCCACCTGCACCTGCTGGATGACCTTGGGCAAGCCATAGTTCTCTCAGAGCTGTCCTCTACCTCACAGGGTGTCTGTTGTGGGGAGGGGAAGGGAAAGGAGTTTGTAAGCCGCTCTGAGACACCTTTGGGTAGTGAAGGGCGGGGTATAAATCCAATCTCTTCTTCTTCTTCTTCCTATCACGAGCAGTCCTCGAAAGAAGAAGAAGAAGAAGAAGAGGAGGAGGAGGAGGAGATTGGATTTATACCCCGCCCTTCACTACCCGAAGGAGTCACAGAGCATCTTACAAACTCCTTTCCCTTCCTCTCCCCACAACAGACACCCTGTGAGGCAGGTGGGGCTGAGAGAGCTCTTGACAGAAACTGCTCTTTTTCCAGAACAGCTCTTATCAGAACTAGGGCTTGCCCAAGGTCACATCAGCAGGTGCGAGTGGAGGAGTGGGGAATCAAACCCGGTTCTCCCAGATTAGAGTCCGCGCACTTCAGCACTACCCCCAAACTGGCTCTCTCAGCCCCGCCTACCTTACAGGGTGTCTGTTGTGGGGAGGGGAAGGGGAAGGAGTTTGTAAGCCGCTCTGAGACTCCTCTGGGTAGTGAAGGGCGGGGTATAAACCCAATCTCTTCTTCTTCTTAAATTCTTCACCTGCAGAAATGCAAATAAACAGGAACCTGCCTCTTCTGCCTCATTTGCTGCCGTCCAGCCGAGCAGGATTGCTCGCTTGCAGCCCCCTCTCCTTCGATCACCACTCCGTGAGCTCTGCCTCCTTAGACCAGCGGCCCTCCCCTAGCCGGGGCCTGTCTCTTGCGCAGGCATGGTGCCGTATAAATAATAGTAATTACGTTGTTTCCCAAGCCAGTGATTTTTAAAGCAAGTGACAACCAGCCAGGGAAAGACCTGCAATTAGTAATGCCCGGGTGGAGCCATTCGTTTGCAGCACTTCCTTCTCGCCGTCTTGCTGCGGATCTCCCCGGGGGCATCGAGTGCCAGCAGGACAATCGATTCATTGTCAAATGCCCATCTGTGGCTGGTCAGAGGAGCCTCATTGTTAGGTTGTCGCCGTCTGTGGCACTTGCCCGGTGCAGCATCTGTGACGGCCGCAGGACTGAGCTGTGCAGTCACTGCGTTCGCTTAAGAGGGGAGCGAGACTGCTGTGGATACCCTGCCCCATCTCCACATCGCACATCTGTGGCGTCTGGATCTGATGATGGCATTGACATCGTCGGTTTAATCAGGGCTTTTTTTGGTAGAAAAAGCCCAGCAGGAACTCATTAGCATAATAGGCCACACCCAACAGCAGAAACTCAGTAGCATATTAGGCCACACCCCTGACAACACAGCTCATTGGCATATTAGGCCACACCCTCATGTTACCAGAAGTGTGCTCATCCAGCCACACCCACCTTTTGCTTCTTATTCTGTTTAACTTGTTTGTTGTCAAAACCCAGGGCCTTTTTTGTAGCAGGAACTCCTTTGCATGTTAGGCTACACACCCCAAATGTAGCCAATCCTAATGAGTTTCTGCTGTTGGGCGTGGCCTATTATGCTAATGAGTTCCTGCTGGGCGTGGCCAACTCTGGAGCCAGCCGGAACTCCGTTCCTGTGCGTTCCTGCCCAAAAATAGCCCTAGTTTAATTAATGAGAACTAAACTCAGTTTGTTGTGGGCTCATTTGAGACACCTTTGAAGTATTTAATGGATTAGCAATGCATAACACTACTAAGGGTGGTCTAGGGTATCTGCTTTGCATATTTCGCTCTGTGCATGTTTAAATCCTTGTAAACCACCTTGAATGTGTGGATGTTTGGACTGAAGAATAGTATGTGCCACAGAAGAGTGTTAGACTGTCGTAATAAGAGCCTCCCGGTGGGCCCCAGCTCGAGAGAGATCCATTTGTCCTCGACTAGGGCCCTATGGAAAGAAGAAGAAGAAGAAGAGGAGGAGGAGTAGGAGTTTATACCCTGCCCTTTACTATCCAAAGGAGTCTCAGAGCGGCTTACAAACTCCTCTCCCTTCCCTTCTCCACAGCAGATCTCGGTTCTCCCAGATTAGAGTCCGCGCACTTAAGGCTCAAGTGGTTAAGATGCTGAACTGCAGGCTGTGGAAGGTCGGTAGTTCAGCAGTTCGAGACCCGGGTGCCGCATGACGGAGTGAGCTCCCGTCTCTCGTTCCAGCTCCTGCCAACCTAGCAGTTGGAAAGCAAGAAATTGCAAGTAGATAAATAGGTACCCCTTCGGTGGGAAGGTAACAGCGTTCCGTGCACCTTGGTGTTTAGTCATGCCGGCCACATGACCACGGAAACGTCTTTGGACAGCGCTGGCTCTTCGGCTTTGAAACGGAGATGAGCACCGCAACCCTAGAGTCGGATTCGATCGGCTTTCGAGCAAGGGAACCTTTACCTTTACTTAACCACTGGCTCCTTTCCGTAGGGCTTTTACCACCTTTCTGTAGGGCTTGCAAGGCAGAGATGTTCTGCCAGATGTTTGGTTGAGGATGCCAACGGTCTGGCACTCTCACTTTGTCACCTCCCTCCTTTTCTCCACATTTCCCCTTCATCCAGGGGACAGGTGGATACTGAAATTATCCGTCCTCTTGGACACAGTAGTGGGGGGGGGTTGATGAATTATTTCAATGTATTTTAATGTTGTTTTAATTTCCTTACTGTTTTTGTCTTTGACGTAAGCCGCCCTGAGCCCTGTTTCAGGGAAGGGTGGCCTAGCAAATTGAAATAGATAAATAAATATAGATACTTCACAAGAATCTGTTTCATTGGAGTGGGAAGAATGTCTTGAGTGTTAATTCACAGGTTAGAATTGTTGACGTGTGAATTAATGTTATTTACGCAGCACACCGTTTGGAAAAAGCTGTTATGTGAAACGGGAGCATATGCGATTTCCGTCGTGTGTATGCGTACATCTTTATCACTTGTTGAAGAAGCACTACTCACTGCAAAACAGCAGTCTAAATCAATGCTCCCTCTAAGCTGCGGAGTCTTGTGAGCAGAAATTCTACTTGGTGAGCCATCGGCATTAAAGTCGTGAGTGAGCGACTTGGCTTCTGCATAAATCAGTCTGCTCTGGAGCCCTCCTTCCTGAGCTAAGATGAAAACGTGTGAGCCAGAGGCTAAAAAACTGTGAGCTAGCTCACACAAACTCAGCTTAGAGGGAACACTGGTCTAAATATATTTTCATAATACTACCTCATGGTTGTTTTCATCATCGTTTGTATCTTCCCGATGGAGGCAGGACGCAAGGTGATTTCATTCTGCTAGCAGCGACCTTTTCCCCAGGGGAAAAGCATTAGATGTGGGATGGATCACGGATGTGTCATGGGGGTCCCTGCCCAAAGAGCACACCCTTACGAAATAAAAGACACAGCGGTAGACGGGGAAGCCTTGACCTGCCGAGGAATCAGATTTGCCGAAACAGCATCCCTTTCTGTTCCGCTGTGCTCGATTTCTTGGCCTTTTGTCAACAGGCAAAAACGATCTGAAGGCCCCAAACTGTTGGCTAGCAGAAAGGAACATTTCTTAGTCTGGAAGAGCAGAGACTCTTGAGCTCCATCCCATTATGCATGAAAAATGCACTATGACTAACAGGTTGAATATGCACCCCCCACCCCCACCTCCTCAGTCCTGTCTGCTATTTAATTTCTCCCAGAGAATCTTCCCCTTTGCTTTTACGGCACGGTAACTACACATTTTTTTTTATCTGTTTGACAGCCACGAGGAGCTGTACTCCAGCCGGCCATACGGAGCGCTGGACTCTGGCTTCAATAGCGTGGACAGCGGAGACAAGAGGTGGTCAGGGAATGAAGTAAGTGCCCTTGGTTTGCTTTTTTGTCAGAGGGGCTTGTAGCAGACGCGAAGAGGAAAACACCAAACAGAATGGGCAACGGAAGACTTAATTGCTAAACGCCGTCGGGCTGTAATCTTAAAAACAGCTTATCCTGATGGTCTAAGGATTGAGGCCAAGGTGTCATTTTCAAATCTCGGGTTCTTTCTAGCATGATGAAACCGGGAAGACTTGCAGGCAGTGTTCCCTCTAAGCTGAGTTAGTGTGAGCTAGCTCACAGTTTTTTAGCCTCCGGCTCACACATTTCTGTCTTAGCTCAGGAAGGATGGCTTCGGAGCAGACTAATTTATGCAGCAGCCAGATTGCTCACTCACCACTTTAGCTTGCAGGTGGCATCTCTTGTCCCGCTTCAACAACAGAAGTTCTTATTGGAATTAAAACTGTCGACTTTTGGTTGTAAGTTGCAAAAGAGAGGTGAGGGTTCCAGAACCAATGCTCCCCCTAAGCTGTGGAGTCTTGTGAGCAAAAATTCTACTTTGTGAGCTACTGGCAATAAAGTTGTGAGCAAGCGATTTGGCTGCTGCATAAATTGGTTTGCCCTGGAGACATCCTTCCTGAACTAAGACAAAAATGTGTGAGCCGGAGGCTAAAAAAGTGTGAGCTAGCTCACACTCAGCTTGGAGGGAACACTGCCCAAAACTGATTTCCCCCCACCCCCCAATAAATATTCAGCTCGTGTTCTTTCACGGGTAGGGTGTGTGCAAAGGCTACCGCCAGCGTGTGTTTAGAAGGCAGTTTTTCTCATAAGTCAGGAACTGACCAAGTCTGTGTTCTTGACGCAGCTGTGAGAACTTTAAATCATCTAGCCCAAGAGAGGGGGTGTTTGTATTGTAAGTCACCTGAAGTTCCTGTAGGGCAGAAAGGCAGCTATCAAAACGTTTTAAATAAATAAGTGAGGTACTTCTTGATAGGTGGGAGCCGATATTAAGGTCTTTTGAAGAGTTTTAGGAATGTTCAGGAGCTGCGGTGGCTCAAATGGTTAAGACGCTGAACTGCAGACCGGAAGGCCGGTAGTTCAGCCGTTCGAGACCCAAGTGCCGTATGACAGAATGAGCTCCCGTCTCTGGCCCCAGCTCCTGCCAACCTAGCAAGAAACTGCAAGTAGATAAATAGGTACCGCTTCGGTGGGAAGGGAACAGCGTTCCATGCGCCTCGGCATCTAGTCATGCCGGCCACATGACCACGGAAACGTCTTCGGACAGCACTGGCTCTTCGGCTTGGAAACGGAGATGAGTACCGCAACCCTAGAGTCGGATTCGACTGGCTTTCGAGCAAGGGAAACCTTTACTTAGGAATGTTCAATTTTTATTTTATTTTTTTTAAAAAACAGCATATGCACACACTAGGGCTGCCCATTCTGGGTTGGGAAATACCTGAAGATTTGGGGGGGTGGAGCCTGAGGAGGGCAGGGTTTGAGGAGGGGAGGGGCTTCAGTGGGGTATAATGCCATAGAGCCCACTTTCCAGAGTGGCCATTTCCTCCAGGGGAACTGGTCTCTGTTGCCTGGAGATCAGCTGTAGAAGAAGAAGAGGAGGAGGAGACTGGATCGACACCCCGCCCTTCACTACCCAAGGGAGTCTCAGAGTGGCTTACAAACTCCTTTCCCTTCCCCTCCCCACAACGGACACCCCGTGAGGTAGGCGGGGCTGAGAGAGCTCTTGACAGAAACTGCTCTTTTTCAAGGACAGCTGTGCCAGAGCTGTGGCTTGCCCAAGGTCATCCAGCAGGTGCATGTGGAGGAGTGGGGAATCAAACCCGGTTCTTCCAGATTAGAGTCCGTGCACTTAACCATGACACCAAACTGGCTCCTAGGAGAGCTCCAGATATCACATAGATGTTGGGTGAACCAAAGGAGCGCCACGGGCAAGATCGTCTATAACGAAACTGAACCACACCGTGCTAACTGATATCACAGATTCTCTATTATTGTATAATAAAAACGATATGCAGCTTAAACAAACTTAATAATACTTATACATCAAATGCATACCCCTCCTGGGTACGTAACAAAGTATTTTAAATGCATTTTGCAGTTGAGAAGAACTTGTATAATTTTTTATCTGAAGACGCCTCTCGTGGCTTGACTTCAGGTAAGGCTGGAGTCCTTCTGAAACCAAATCTCATCTGTCTGACACATTTCAAAAAATTTTCTTTGTCAAAGCCAGCATGAAGAAAAACCTGTATCGCTCTAAAGAGTCATCCGACTTTCATGGCATCAGCCTGTAGACAGCAGGTTCCGACTTCTGGCGTGTCTTTCGTATGTGCACGCAAGGCGTCTTCAGACAAAAAATTTGGAGAAACGCTGTGTTTATACTAGATTTTGCCCTTGGAATTCCCACAGTCTGCTTCAGAATTGGCAGTCAGTGCATGTAACTGGTGAGGCAAAGTGTCTCCACTGCTTTTAAAAAAAAAATTATTATATAAATTATACAACTTATACAATCGAGAAGTTTTAAAAATAGGGTCTTAACATTTCAAAGTGTCTTACTGTAATTTTCCATATAGGATTTCAATAGTTACGTTCAGTAATTGCACTTTTAGATGAAACAACATATTCTTAAACAAAGCTAGTATACAGATAAACAGATTAATATGTGTCACCAGGTGTTTTCGAAAGTGATTACAGCTCTAGAGGAGGGTGGATTCACAGTATTAAAGGCAATCTTACCCTGCACATATTGCTCCCAAATCTTTTTACACCACAGATCCCGAGTAGGAGACAAAGACACCTTCCAAAGCGAGGCAATAGAAGATTTGGCCGCCGAAAGCAAAATCATTAAAATACATTGTTTGGTGTAGTGGTTAAATGCGTGGACTCTAGTCTGGGAGATCCGGGTTTGATTCCCCACTCCTCCACTTGCACCTGGCTGGATGACCTTGGGCAAGCCGTAGTTCTGATAAGAGCTGTTCTTGAAAAAGAGCAGTCTCTGTGAAGAGCTCTCTCAGCCCCACCAACCTCACAGGGTGTCTGTTGTGGGGAGGGTAAGGAAAAGGAGTTTGTAAGCCGCTCTGAGACATCTTTGGGTTGTGAAGGGAGCAGTATAAATCCAATCTTTTCTCTTCTTCTTCTATATAAGAACAGCGGTCTCCCACCAACTCCAAACCTAATAATATGCATTCAGGCGTCAAAGATAGGGAATGTCCAATAATTAACTTTATGTTGTTGAGGACCATCTTCCAAAAGGTTTGTAGGACCGGACAGAGGAGCCAACTATGTATATAGCACCCCTCTGCCCCACGCTTCCACTGCTTTTAAATTTAAAGGGATGCAAGGCTGAGTTGCAGAATTTTTTCCCAGGGTCCACTCGCTTGAGGCATAGTCGAGCTAGAAGCTCCCTCTAAGCCGTGGGGTCTCGTGAGCAAAAATTCTACTTTGTGAGCGACTGGCATTAAAGTTGTGAGCGAGCCATTTGGCTACGGCATACTTTGCTCTGGAGCCATCCTTCCTGAGCGAAGACAAAAGTGTGTGAGCCGGATGCTAAAAAACTGTGAGCTAGCTCCCACTAACTCAGCTTAGAGGGAACACGGGAACACACAATTGCCAGTTCTCTAGAAAAGCATGTTAGCGGTGGGGGAAAGTTAATATAAACTCAGGACAACTAACAAACTCTGTTTTGTCCACCTGCCCTCTTCCATGTCTGTCATAATTTTGGGGAGGACCTGTTGTTGGCAAGGGAATCACGGTCCTGAAGATCCTGTTTTAGCATGCTGTCGTAAATTTTATGTATTTATGTTAATTATAGTCCACCGTTCTCACTAGGAGTCAAAGTGGATCACCCAGAGTGAGTTAATAACAATCAACAGGATGGAGCATTCAATAAACAATGAAATAGGCTTAAGGTTATACACATCTGGAACCGACCAGAACTCTGAAAAACAGAACCGCGGAGCATAAATGTTAACATAATGTGTTGAGAAATGCAAAAATGACATAGTAAGATCCTACTTGCAGCAAGCTGTACACAAATAGCATCATAGAACCACAGAGTTGGAAGGGGCCCTACAGGCCGTCTAGCTAGCCCAACCCCCTGCTCAATGCAGGTCAGCCTAGAGCATCCCTGGCAAGTGTTTCTCCAGCTGCTGCTTCAAGACTGCCAGTCAGGGGGAGTTCACCGCCTCCATAGGCACCTCCCTAGGCCGTAGTATAGACTGCAGCCTGTTTCTCCAAGGAACCGTGTAAACCATTTGTACAGTGCAACCCTGTTGCCTCTGTAGAAAAGCCCTCTTGAATAATTCTGGAATAAATGAAGTGTCTCTCTTGCTTCCTTTTCAAAATGAAGCCTACAGATGAATTTTCTGACCTTCCTCTTCGCGTGGCAGAGATCACAAAGGAGCAGCGACTCAGAAGAGAAAGCCAGTACCAGGAGAACAGGGGGAGCGTGATTGTCACCAACGGCGGAGGTAAAAGGCGTCCATTTATTTAGTGGCTTTAGATGCTGGGAATGTTGGTTTGTTTCTGACACCTACCCCCGTGAAGCAGCACTTTGCCGTCTGTGAGATGAGTAGACAGCGGTCTGCATTTCTCAGGCATTCCGCCACATCGGTCACCTTGCATCCGTCAGTTCCAAGGATTACTCTCTTGACAGTTTGCTGTATCTCATCGCCAAAGCGGATTTAAATTAAACTTAACCGTTGTCGCATTACATTTCCTCCAGCCACAGAGCCAGTGTGGTCTAGTGTTGGACTAGGGTCTCGGGGGATGTGGATTCAGATCCCCACTCTGCTATGGATGCTGGCCGGGCGAACATGGACAGTGGTTCTGGCTAATGTTGAGAGTCTGATATTTTCATCAGGGGATCGGTAATTCAGGGCAAGCGAGGCAGAAAGCAGTTTGCAAAATGTCTTCTGCTTTAAGGTCTGCTGAAGTGACTCGAAGTGACCAGGGGCCTGGAGACCAAGCCCCAGGAGGAAAGGCTGAGGGACTTGGGAATGTTCGGTCTGGAGAAGAGGAGGTTGTGGGGGACATGATTGCTCTCTTGAAGTATCTGAAGGGGTGTGTCACTCGGAGGAGGGCAGGGAGCTGTTCCTGTTGGCAGCAGAGCAGAGAACTCACAAGAATGGGTTTAAATTCGGGGCGGGAAGGTACCGGCTGGATCTTAGGGCAAACTTTTTGACAGTCAGAGTTGGGCAACAGTGGAATCGGCTGCCTGGGGAGGTGGTGAGCTCCCCCCTCCCTGGCAGTCTTGAAGCAGCGGCTGGACAAAGACTTGTCAGGGATGCTCTAGGCCAGTGGTGGCGAACCTATGGCACGGGTGCCAGAGGTGGCACTCAGAGCCCTCTCTGTGGGCACGCGTGCCATCGCCCCAGCCAGGCCCAGGTCATCATTAAAGTGTCGAATTCTCTGCCAAATAATTTTAAGTAAATGAAAGCATTTGGGATTGCGTTCCTTCCTTTGTTTGGGTCATCTGAAGTTAATGTATGAGTTGTTTTTTCTAAAGTAAAACCTCAGTATTCAGGTTAAACTGCCGTGTTGGCACTTTGCGATAAATCAGTGGGTTTTGGGTCGCAGTTTGGGCACTCTGTCTCTAAAAGGCTCGCCATCACTGCTCTAGGCTGATCCTGCATTGAGCAGGAGGGTTGGACTAGATGGCCTGTCTGGCTCCTTCCAACTCTGGAATTCTATGATTCTATGCTGTAAACAGTCACTGCAGGTTGCATTAGTGGGAGTAATAAATTCTATAGCGATGGGGTTCCCCCCCCCCCTTGTGTATAATTCATTCCAACATACGAAATAGCTCTTAAAGCAATTTAATAGTTGGAAAACTCTTTCCTTCAATCCACACTTTATAGAGATGGGTGTGCTCCCCGGTTATGTAAACCAGTTAGCAGGGAGAAGTTTCTCAGATCAGATTTGGGGGAAACCCCACGATCGAACCGGGCGTCGTGCCAGAGAGTGCCTGCGAGAGATTTTTGCACTCGCTGAGATTTCGGCTTCTGTTTCTCTCTTTCCCCCCCGAAATGCCTGCTTACCTAATCACGCCTCTTTTCTCCATATTCGCCAAGTGGAGCACGACCTGGACCAGATCGACTTTATCGACAGCTGTGTCACGGAAGAGGAGGAGGAAGAAGCGAGGCCGCCCAAGAGCACGGAGCCTGAAAGCCTCAGCTCACAGTTCATGGCGTATATCGAACGGCGAATCTCACACGAGGTGGTGCTTCTTTTTAAATTAGTTTTGTGTGTGTGTGTGTGTGTGCGTGCGTGCCTCTGTTAAAAGTGCTTCTGCTTGCTTCGATGCAGGGATCCCCGGCGTATTGCCTGTGGGCAGCGTGGTTCAGTCCCCCCACCAGCACCTTTCCTGGCCCTCGCCAAGTGTTTTTTTTTTTTTGGAACAGTTTTTTGTTTTATTTTTTTTTGACAGTTTTTTATTTTATTGATATTTATATACACAAACATTTCATCTATACAAGTTACATATAAATCAGAGTCTTCCATCTCTTTTTTTCCCCCACAAGTTGGGGTTATTAGTTTTCTAACAGTTTTTCTATCCACATATACACTTTTTCCCACCTCCTTTCATGTACCTTTTCATTTTTGTTTTGTATCATTAAACTTAAATTATCCATTCTGGCTAGTTCCAGTAATTTATCTATTAATTCTTCCCTTGTAGGTATAACTTCAGCTTTCCATTTTTGAGCTATTAACAATCTAGCTGCTGTTATAATGTAACTTAATACATATGCATCTTGTTTATTGTATCCTATCGGTATCATATTTAGCAGATATATTTCAGGTTTTAACGCTAGAGTGTTTTGAGGAAAGTGGGTGGGGCTTTTGCCCAGCCATGCTTCTGGTTGGCCACCGGAGGTTTGATCGGCCGTGCAGGTTTTTCAAAACATTGTTTTGTCAGCCGTTGCCACCAACGCTCCCTCTAAGCTGTGGAGTCTCGTGAGTAAAACATTCTACTTTGTGAGCCACTGGCATTAAAGGGGTGAGCGAGCCGTTTGGCCACTGCATCAGTTAGTTTGTTCCGGAGGCGTCCCTTCCTGAGCTAAGACGAAAATGTGTGCGCCGGAGGTTAAAAAAACCCCTGTGAACTAGCTCAGAGTAATTCAGCTTAGAGGGAACACTGGTTGCCACCACAGCACAAGGATCTTCACTGTGCGACTGAAGGTAAACGGTGGCAGCCATTTTGTGCCTGGCTCCGCCTTCTGCGGCAGCCATTTTGTGGCCGCGGCCCACCACATTCTGTCAGAATTCAAAAGGTGCCCACAGGCTCAAAACGTTTGCAGACCCCTGCTTTGATGTTTCACATCTGTAGTTGGCTCTGAGTTCCCCTTCGGAAACCTTTTTTTAAAGTAGCTCTGATGTTCCTAATGCACAGTTTTCTGTGGCCTGGCTCCTTGTAATGATCTTCCCAGCACAATTCATACTGTTGATTTTGACTGCAAGATAGACATGGCGTCTCAAGTTATATAGGCTTTGTGGGAGCACCTGCTCTCTCATTTCCCTAGCGCTGCGTCCCAAGCATGTTCTGTTAAATACACAACCGTATGTGCAGAAGCTGTGGAGCCAGGTCCTGTGAAGATACTTCTGGTGCCTGCCCTGTATTTGAGAAATATTTGGGAGTATCCAGCTTGGTGACTCACTCCTTCTTATGAATTGTTTGTAGTTGGCCTTCTGTTCAGCATAGCGTGACTTAGGTGCAGCTGCAGTTGCCTCAGGTTGCTGCACATGCGGCACTCCTGCCCTCTGCGATACACGCCGTGTGAAATTCCCCCCTCCCCCCCTCACCATAAGCCCTAACTGCGATGAGGCCTGTGTGGGCACCAGTAGAAGAAGAAGAGATTGGATTTATACCCTGCCCTTCACTCGGGAGTCTCAGAGCAGCTTACAAACTCCTTCCCCTTCCCCTCCCCACATCAGACACCCTGTGAGGTAGGTGGGGCTGAGAGAGCTCTTTCCAGACCTGTCCTTGAGAGAACAGCTCTGGCAGAACTATGGCTTGCCCGAGGTCATCCAGCAGCTGCTAGTGGAGGAGTGGGGAGTCAAACCCGGTTCTCCCAGATTAGAGTCCGCGCACTTAACCTGGGGTTCAGTTTGCACCTAATCTGGGTTCTTAATATATCACCACGTCATTAAAGATAAACTGTAATTAACATTAGCATTCACAGTTTTGTTTCAGTCTAGCTTTAAGGCTTCGTTTTTTAAAATTGATTTTACTTCTAAGCTGCCTTCGATCCATTCGTTGTGGAAGGGCAGTCTGTCAAGTGGCTGGATAGATAAAGTAGTCCTCCTGTAACTCTTGATCTTGGCTAGGGCCAGCAAGGAAAATTCATGCCTTGGAAAAGCAGGGGGATGGGCGAGGGAGCGTGTGGTGTACGGTGGCTTAGCGGTAGAGCATCCCCCTGAAATGCAGAAGGTCCCGGGTTCAACGCTCCCTCTAAGCTGTGGAGTCCTGTGAGCCAAAATTCTACTCGGTGAGCTCCTGGCCTTTAAGTTGAGAGCTGGGGATTTTGACCGCTGCATAAATCACTTTGCTCGGGAGCCCTCTTTCCTGAGTTAAGGCAAAAAAGTGTGTGCGCTGGAGGCTAAAAAAACTGTGAGCTAGCTCACACTCGCTCACCTTAGAGGGAACACTGCCCAGGTTCAATCCCCCAGACCTTTTTGAGCAGACGGCCACCTGACAGCCATGCTGATCCTGTGAACTGAGGCAGATCGTGAGAAGGGAGGGCAGGAAGGGTTGTCTCAGGGCTTAGTTCTCGTGGCCCTTTCTTACACACTCAGGGAAATTTATTTTATTTATTTTCATTGCATTTATACCCCGCCCTTCCCGCGAACGGGAAATGCCGATCACCACTTTGGGGTCAGGAAGCGGTTTTTCTCCAGTCCAATTTGGCTCCAGATCTGGAGGTTTTTTGTCATCTTCGGGGTATGGAATCGAGATCACTGGGGTGTGGAGGGGGGAGGTATTTGTGAATGTCCTGCATTGTGGGTTGGACTCGATGACCCTGGAGGTCCCTTCCAGCTCTATCATTCTACGATTCTGTTAAAAGGACCAGGCGGTAGGTGATGCTAAAGACCGCAGCCTGAGACCCTGGAGAGCTGCGAAGAGGGGCTGTGGCTCAGTGGAAGAGCCTCTGCCTGGCATGCAGGAGGTCCCAGGTTCAGTCCCCGGCATCTCCAGTTAAAAGGACCAGGCAGGAGGTGATGGGAAAGACCGCCGCCTGAGACCCTGGAGAGCTGCCGCCAGTCTGAGTAGACAGTACTGATCCCAATGGACCCGTGGTCTGATTCAGTTTAAGGCAGCTTCAGTTTAAGGCAGCATCACACATTTCCTTTGTGGTGGTTGAACTTGTTAAGGGGTGGGGGCATTGCATGTTGCCATTTTCTGAGAAACAGCTCATAGCGTCGGGGAATACATATAGACACAATTAATTGTTTATCTATTTATTTGATCAGGTTTCTACCCCGCCCTTCCACCCGAAGCCGGCAAAGGGCGGCTTACATAAAACAATGCATAAATTCCAGCAAAACGATTAAAGCGCTTAAAACAATACTACAACCAATGAAAGACATAAAGTGCTAGTATTATTGTCCTTGGTTGTTGTTGTCGTCGTCGCTCCGGCGATGGTGGCCGTACTCAGTTCTCTCTCCAGGCGATCGGCTCTCAGATCTCCTTCAGATATCACAGCAGCTATCGGCACAGGCTCCATTGTTAAAATCCCAGGGACACGGGGCTCTCTATTCTACTGCTGTTAACTATTGATGATATTTAGCGGTGGCGGCAGCTCCAACTGGTGAGAGCCAGTTTGGTGTAGTGGTAAAGTGCGCGTACTCTAATCTGGGAGAACCGGGTTTGATTCCCCACTCCTCCGCTTGCACCTGCTGATGTGACCTTGGGTCAGTCACAAGCTCTGGCACAGCTGTCCTTGAAAAAGAGCAGTTCTCTCAGCCCCACCTACCTCACAGGGTGCCTGTTGTGGGGAGGGGAAGGAGTTTGAAAACCGCTCTGAGACTCCAAGTGAAGGGCGGGGTATAAATCCAATCTCTCCTCTCCTCTCCTCTCCTCTCCTCTCCTCTCCTCTCCTCTCCTCTC